TATTGTGCGACAGCCTTGATGTGAGGTCATAACGGAAATCTAAAACAATTGAATTAACTTTTTTTTCTGTGTACCGACAAAATACACCGCTTGTATGCATCTCAATTAATTGCAACGAAAACGAAAGTGTTGCCACCGCCGCTTCTGCTGTTTTGTGCTGCCCATCGTAGCGTGTTGTTGCGTCTGCTAATTAATGTGGTTATTGCACCGAAATGCAGCCAAGTGGAGCCACATACCCACTTAGCCACCAGTGCACCACCCGATGCACTGTCTCCACTGTTTGTGTCTTCACTGCACAGATAAAAAAATATAGATTCACTATTTGTATCTCTTGGATAAGTAAAAGTCACATAACATAATATGATAATTAAAAGTCGGAAGTCGGGTGTGTAAAATCCCTTTCTGCCTGATCCTTACATGGTATAACAATTTTTGATGCCTTTATGTAAAAAAATGTACATTTAATCAATGTAAAGTTCTTTAAATGTTCAATTTATCATGTCAAATTCCACTTCAACTGACGATATATATTAAAAATTCGCTGGAAAAATATGTATTTACATTGTTTAATTACGTATTATAACACACATCTTTACAAGATGATCATAACACAACAAATTTTGTTCTGTGTAGTTACTACATTTCTCGGGTTCCCTTTCGATTCCAGCTAAACTGTCGCCAGAAGACGCCTCCGCCGGCGTTGAGTGCCGAGCAGCACCTGGCCCGCATCGAGGTGTTCAATTCGCTGGCCGTGACAGCTCCCCAAATCGAGGTGGACCGTCTGCGGTACGACAGGCGCCACAATATGAGCGGTAAGTGGGCGGGATTGGGGGCGGATGAGAGGGTGGATGGGGGTGTAGGAATGCGTGCCAGTCACGGATGCCGTACCATCCAAGTTGGGGGCTGTTTACAACCCGAGCAATTTTCAATTTCCTTCACTAATTACTTATAAACACTTTAATCTTAAAGTCAAACTTTCCTAATATGTTTAGATTTTCACTATCATTATACAATTGAAAAATTAAAAAAAAAGATTTGGTTAAAAAAAGCTATACTATTATTATACAAAAAGTGCTTTGTGTTATATAATTTGCTTTATAAAAATAATTATTTGATTTAAAGACATAAAAATAATTTAATATACTATAATTTTTGAAGAATTCACCTGAAGAAAAATATCTATAATTTAATCGGTACACCTTTCATGGGCCTTAGTAAACTTAGATACAATTTCAGGTGAGGATTACGCGCCTCATGTGAGGGGTCAGGCCGTGCCCGGCGAGGGAACCCTCTGCCTGTCCATCTCCAAGCTGGCCATCTCCTTCTGCGTGCTGGGCCTGATCTTCCTGGTGGCCGTGGTGGTGGCCATCTTTTCGCTGATCCGATCGCGTCGTCGCGATCGTCGTCATGGAGCCGGTTTGAGTTTGGGCTTGGGACTGGGAATTGCCGGGACGAGCACCTCGAACAGCAGCAGCCGGTTGCATCGGGATCGGGCTGAGATCTGCACCTCGATGTTCTCATCCAGCAGCGAGTCGGCTCAATCGCAGCCTCGTTTTGGGGCCAAGTTCCTGATGCCCTACTATCCCAATACCCTGCCCTACGGCCGAGTGTACTAACTACTTGGTTACTAGAGGGGCCTCCCAGAGACTGACGGATTCGTCTAACGAGTGGTACCAAAATAAGGTCTAACTTTAGCAATATTATCGTAGTAGAGTAACGATTGGTGGGTCGAAAGGATCTTGAAAGCGTTTTGCAACAGGTTCGTGGGCCAAAATGTGTTTTGATGTCCTTTCGCTGTAGTTGTATTTAATAATCTACATATATGTAATCTACAATAAATGCAAATTAATAAAAGCCAATTCTATTGTTTTTAAAAAATGTTTACTTCTCCAACTGCAGTAAAGTTAAAAAAAAAAATTCGAAAACTGGCCAAAAAATAAATTTTCCTTAAAGTGATAGGGATCGATAGCAATTGAAGCAAGCTGCTCAAAACACTCGGTCTTTTAGCTGTACTCCTTGATTTGACTAAACTACGACTGAAAAACCACTAAAAAATGAGTATTTTTGACCAAAATTTTAATCCCAAAAAAAACCGAGCTACCCCCTTACAAAATATGAAAAAATTTGTCAAAAAATAAATTTTCCTTAAAGTGAAAGGGATCGATAGCAATTGAAGCAAGCTGCTCAAAACAGTCGGCCTTTTAGCTGTACTCCTTGATTTGACTAAACTACCACTGAAAAACCACTTAAAAATTAGTATTTTTGACCAAAATTTGAATCCCAAAAAAAACCGACCTCCCCCCTTACAAAAAATGAAAAAATTTGTCAAAAAATAAATTTTCCTTAAAGTGATGGGGATCAATAGCAATTGAAGCAAGCTGCTCAAAACTGTCGGTCTTTTAGCTGTACGCCTTGATTTGGCTAAACTACGACTGAAAAACCACTAAAAAAGGAGTATTTTTGACCAAAATCTGAATCTCAAAAATAAACGACCTACCCCCTTACAAAAAATGAAAAAATTTGTCAAAAAATAAATCTTTCTTAAAGTGATAGGGATCGATAGCAATTGAAGCAAGCTGCTCAAAACACTCGGTCTTTTAGCTGTACTCCTTGATTTGACTAAACTACGACTGAAAAACCACTAAAAAATGAGTATTTTTGACCAAAATTTGAATCCCAAAAAAAACCGAGCTACCCCCTTACAAAAAATGAAAAAATTTGTCCAAAAATTAATTTTCCTTAAAGTGATGGGGATCAATTGCAATTGAAGCAAGCTGCTCAAAACAGTCGGTCTTTTAGCTGTACTCCTTGATTTGACTAAACTACGACTGAAAAACCACTAAAAAATGAGTATTTTTGACCAAAAATCTGAATCACATAAAAAACAGGATTTAAAATCAATTTTAAACCCGCGGGCATTGGCTTAGTTATTTTAGTACTTGGTATTTTTCGTAGTATTCTAGGCCCCACCACTCGAAATGGCCTAACGCCACCTGGCCAACAGCTGATGCGAAGAAGAAGAAGCAGCACGTGCACGTTGTTGTCGAATTTGAATTAGTTTTATTTTTAGTCAGATTTTAAGTTAATACCGCCCTGCAGCGCCACCAAAATGACCAAAACTGCGCCAAAAGAGCGCCCAAAGGCCAAGACGCCCTACAAACGCTACTTTGAGACGGAAAAGGGCACAAAAACGGAGAACGACGGCGGCGGCCTGGAATATGTAAAACTAAAGAGCAAAAACCGACAGAATTTCACCGGAGATTTCATCAAAATGAATGATAAGGCTAAGAAACCGCGTCCCCAGAAGGCTCCGGCCAAGCCCACGCAACAAGAGCTGGAGTCCAAGCCCAAGAAGAACCCGATTCCCGAGGAGATCCTCCAGAAGTACTCACGTGGCGAGCAAGTGCAGCCAAAGGGCGTGAAGACGCGGCACTTCAAGGAGAAGCAGACGCGCAAGGAGGTCTACCTCGAGTACGCCACAGAGCAAGCGGCGCGCACGGAGCTCCTACTCCAGGAAACCGCAGGCCAACTGGAGGCCGACGAGGGCGAAACCACCGCCGAGTACAGACAATCCCAGATAGCCGACAACGTGGACCTTCAGTCGTCTGCAAAGCATTTCAATCTGAACATGGAGTTCGGTCCCTACCAAATGCGATACACCAAGAACGGCAGGCATTTGCTGCTTGGCGGCAGGCGAGGACATGTGGCCGCCTTCGATTGGGTGACCAAGCGGCTGCACTGCGAATTCAATGCCATGGAGAGCGTCGAGGATGTCCAGTGGCTGCATGTGCCCACCATGTACGCCGTGGCACAGAAGACCTGGGTGTATTTCTACGACAAGAAGGGTACTGAACTCCATTGCATCAAGCGGCTGAACCGGGTAAATCGCCTGGACTTCCTGCCCTACCACTTCCTTCTGGCCGCCGGCAATAATGCGGGTTATGCATCCTGGCTGGATGTATCCATTGGCGAGTTGGTGGGTAATTTCAACACGGGACTGGGCGATATACGCATGATGCGCCACAATCCCCGAAACGGAGTGCTTTGCATTGGCGGCGGACGTGGCGTCGTGTCCATGTGGTCGCCCAAGGTTCGTGAGCCACTGGCCAAGCTGCTGTGCCATTCGACGGCCATGACAGCGCTGACTGTGGATCCCAAGGGCCAGCATTTGGTCACCGCTGGTCTGGATCGGGCTGTGAAGGTATGGGACATTCGAATGCTGGTGCAGGACAAGCCGCTGACTCATTTCCAACTGCGCCTGGCCGCCAACGAGCTGGATGTCTCGCAGCGCGGCATGCTGGCGTTATCGCAAGGCACCTATCTGGAGACCTATTCGGATCTGCTCTCCGGCGGCGGTTCGGGTGACGGAACACGCCTGCCCTACCTCCGCCAGCGCTGCGATGCCTTTGTCCATGGTCTGCGTTTCTGTCCGTACGAAGATGTGCTTGGCGTAGCCACGGCCAAGGGCTTCCAATCGCTATTAGTGCCTGGCTCTGGAGAGCCCAACTTTGATGCCCTGGAGGACAATCCTTACGAGACATCGAAGCAACGACGGGAGCACGAGGTGCACGCCCTGCTCGAGAAGATTCCGCCCGAGCTGATAACCCTGGACCCACTAGAGATCACCGGCGTAGACGCACCCACGCTGCAGGAGAAGATCGATGCCAAGAGGAAGCTGTTCCATGTGAAAGCGCCTCGCATCAACATGAAGTCCCGCCACAAGATGAAGGGTCGTGGCGGCACTGCAAAGGCGGCGCGCAACAAGCAGATCGTCAAGGATGCCAAGCGCAAGGTGAGTGGGAGGTTCAGTTTTCCTAAAAACCTATGTCTAATAACTCTTACGCCTGCAGGAGTTCATCGCAGAGGTGAGGGAGGCCAAGAAGACCGTGATCAATCAGCATACAACCAAGGAGGGTGCCAAGGGCAAGGCCAAGGAACCGCGCTCCGTCCTCGATCGATTCAAACCCAAGCCCCCCAAAAAACAGAAGACCTGAGCATAGTTCGTCTTAAGAAAGAGGAATATAATGTATACATTAAACTATTTGTAGAAGCTATACAAAGTGTGTATGTGTCGGTCAACGGGGAACACTAATTAAAACCCAACACTGCCTTCAGGTAATCAGCAATTCGACCGTTCTCCGCCTGTTCCTCCAGCTGCTTTAGTGCGCGCTCCAATTGTCCCTCTTTATCCGACTCTCTGGCATAATAGAACAAATTAAGGACTCGCTTCTGGTTCTCAAACTTGTCCTCGTCTTCAGAGTCGCCCGTGACCTGCAGCTTAACCAAGTGGCTGATCACCTCTGGGGCAGACTGGATCAGAGCGGACATAAACACTCCATTCAGCTGGCGACAGAGCGTGGCCATGGCTCGCAACGTGGCCTCGCCCACTGTTGGCTTCAACAGCAACTGTGGCAGATAGCTTAGGAAGGGAGCGAATCTCGCCTCGCCGCCAAAGCGCTTGTACAATTCCGAACGTTCCACAATCTCGCAGAGCAGATTAAGCACCCGAGTGGCCACGCCTTCGCGTGTGGTGAACCGCTGACCCACATAAGCCTCAATGGTTACGCTCAGCAGACTGGTCAAAGGATCCGCCACGATATTTAGCAGCGAGGTAGCATTTTCGAGGAGCAGTGGGCGCAGGGAAGCCACTACTAAGAGCTGCTGCTCCGGCGGCATCGAGTTTAGACGCTCCAAACACTGTTGCATGTAGGAAACCAAATGCCCATACAATTGAGCCTGCTTCTCGTTGGGGTTAGGAAAGAATTTACAGGTCAGCGGAACAATGCCCAGGTTTTGCGGCAAACAGAGTTCTCCGCCATCTGCTGCTCCCTTGTCCTTGGCCGACTTCTTGGCCGCCAAGGGAATTTGTTGGTAGGGAAAGCGACTGCCGTCCTTGTCCAAAAAGTTAACCACGAACTTCTGAGCGTAGTTCTTTCTCAGCCAATCGCTTAGTTCCTTGGTGTTGTGCTCCGTTTCATGCTGTGCGACTAGGGTCCAGAGCAGGCTCATTAGACTGATGACCACATGCAGACTGGCCGCCGCATCCTGGGTGAGCAGCGGTTGTTGTGGCTGCGGACGTACCTCCAGCCAGTTGTCCTGGAGGAGCGGCAGCAGCTGCTCCAAGTAGGTTTGCAGCTGAGTACCCTCGGCACTTAGTTTGGGTTCCTTGAGGATGGCATATATATCGCGGTTGTCCTTGGGCGTGGGACACAGCACATTGTAGTACTGCGGACGCATCTCCTCGAAGTGAACCACACGGGCTACGGCTGCTTTGGCGTTCTTGGAGCTAACCAGCGTGCCGAGGATCTGCTGCAGGCGAATGAGCACCTTGGTGCGCCACTTCACGGTCGTCTGCTTGCCCTGGCCCAGGTTCAAAGTCAGGGTACGATTCGAGCGCTCGTTGTCGTGGCGGGCGCGGGAGATCATGTCGATGAAGTTGCCGATAATAACGCTGGCACTCCGCTCAGCCAACAGAGCCGGCGGCACACGCTGCAGCAGGACGTCGAGCATGAGCAGGGAATCCTCCTGGATGGCGGGCAGCACGTGGGTCATGGCGCAGCGCAAATAGGTGGCAATGACATGGAAGAAGGGCGCCACCGCCTGCGGCTGCAGGGCCTCCAGCAGAACATCGAGCGTCTTGAATGATTCCTGTCTCGCCGAGCGCTCCATGTCCAAAGCTCCGGCCGCAATGCCCTGGAACAGCACGTTCAGATGGCCAATAAGATGATCCGCATTGCCGGACTTTAGGGAATCGCGCACATTGCGCAGCGCATCCTGGCGGAACTTGACGCTGTGATGCTTCAGCCGGGAGAGTGTCTCCTTGAGATTGAGCTGCCGCTGGCCGAATTCCGTGTAGGAGGACTCCTTCAGCTGCTCCCGAATCTCGATCTTGCGCACCTTGAAGTCCGTCTTGGTCACATTGAGGCCCTTGGGCAGCTTGGCGCCCTTCAGCTTCACCTTGGCCTTCTCCGCCCGCAGGTTCTTCTTGTGGTGGCCGCCCATTTTCCCAGTTCTGGAGGAGATCGGCGCAGGATTTCCGAATCAAAAACAATCAAAACATGTGCGCTAAAACACAGCTGGCAGTTAGGGTGGCCATATATGTGTCCAAAAACTTATCTAGTATATACCGAAAAAAATTATTTACTTGTAATGCACTTAGAAAAACAAACTTTATTATTTCTTAAAATTTGACTTTTATTAAAATGTTTTCTGGAACACTTTTTCTTTTAATTCAACGAAGTTTTATATAACCTTTAATTTTAAATGTATTTATTTTATAGTATTTTTATCAGGATCCCAAAAGGAAACAAAATTAATTTTAATTTATTTTGACAACATGAATTTATTATTTAATTTATCAAAGTAATAAATAGGCCTAATATATGGTGCAAAAGGCCTATTTGTTTTGAAGACAGTGAACTATTTCAACTTCGGACAGAGCTAGAATATCCTTGCATGAGCTTGTTGTTTCCCTTAACTTCATAAATCTCATAAAATGTTAAACACATTGGTGTAAAATCAGTTTAAAATAGTCGAAAATTGATCTAGAAGGATAGGAAATCTGTTGAGGATATGAAAAAGTAAATTACCAGTTATGATGAAATTACAAACTCCAGAATGTTCCAGAATGTGAAAATTCAGAGGTGGAGTACAAATTGAATTAAACAAAAGATAAATCCAAACTTCTAGCTAAAGTAGTGTCCTGTGCTTTGTAATTTGTTAACGAAAAGCTAATACATGTCGAGATAATGGCCAAATACCTATTTGTGAGATGAATTTTAAAATGGTAGACAATAGATTAGCTAAAAAAACTAGCTTTACAGAAATTAAAAGCAATCTGTATGTCTCTCTAGAAATGTAATAAAATTTTAAAAAATTGGCTAATTAATTAATTAAATTAAGCAACACGTGCTAGCTTGCCTATCGACCTATCGTTATCGGGTAGCAAAAAGCACTAACGCTTGGCGGGCAGTTTTTCTCCCCCATCACCAGCTGGGCACATTCAAAATTTGTATTTAAAGTAGGAGCGTTTTATTGTTTTTTATTCATTTTAACAACGCTGTTTACGTTGGCGGAACTCTTGGCGGCAAAGGAAACGCAATTAAGACGCGTACGAACCAAAATTGCAAATAATATAAACACGGTAAAAACGAGTGGAAATATTGTGAAATACCCACACGCACACTATCGCACAAGCACTCACACCCCCACACCACTCACCACAATTCCAATTGGAAAGAACCTTTCCGGGCGGGGGAGCACGTTTCGTTTCGCCTGAATTTCGCCCGTGATTTTAGAGATTTCTCGATCTCAATTCCGGTGGCAGCCGCATTTCTATAATTAAAACTGAAAAACTAAAACAAAAAAACTATATTTTTGAAAAACCTGTCCGCAATATCTGTTTACATCTTAAAAGAGAGAGAGCAGCAGCTGACGCCGCAGCTGTAAGTTTTATTGGAGGGTGTGAAGTGAGGAAAACACGCGACCCGCTATTATAATCATTTGTTATTTTACTTTTTTTTTGTTCTTGTAATAATAAAAGTAATCGTGAATTCGATTTCGATAGAAATACCCACACACCCACGCATCGACACCGTGTCAGCAACAAAATAAAGGAAATCGTGGGAGAGCAAAAACAGCGGTAAATTCGGCAAATAACGTTACACAACCTACCAAAACTGCAACACCAGAGAGCGGTAGAAAGAGAACGAGAGAGGGAGCGCAAAAGGAGGTCAGTGCACATATTTTAATAATATATTAATCGCTAGTAAATAAACGCTAGTACATAGTGAGGGAAATAAAGAATCTCAACATGTGTTTTATGATATTTTCAAAAGTTAGTTGGCAACAAATTCCCATAATTGATTAGAAAAAGGGCGACCTGTGGATTATTTTCTAGTAGACGCAGTGGCGTATCTAAAAGGGTATTTAGGACACATTTTTTGTAGCATACTTTTTAAATAAGTCAAATTCGGGATTTATATGTTTTTAGTATTTTTAAGTATATTTGAATTAGATAAAGTTATTACTAGTAAGTTCTCTCTTTTCCAATTTACAACGTTGCGGATACGCAACAGCTGAGAGGACATTTCTTATTGGAACGAGTACGCGCGCGTGTACCGTTGCTTTTGTTTGTGTTTGCTTTTGCGTTTTGTTTGCGCGTGTGTGCGTTTGCGCCTTCCTTTTTTTGCCGGTAAATTGTTGTTGGTGTTTTTCCCCCGGCCTGTGTTTTTGTTGCTATTACTGGTATTTCATTTAACACTAGTGACGCGGCAGGTTTTATAATGATTTCGCTCAAAGCGGGTCAAAGTGGCAAGACCTTGGGCTCCGTTCGGCCGACAGCAGTTGGCAAAATATTAGGAGTTTCCAGAAGAATTTTTAAATCTTATGATTAACCAAGAACTGATCTTTAAAAATGTTGATGTTTCCAGAATAGAGGCAATTAAATTTTGGAAAGTCTTGGTTTTTTAAATATTTATTTATTAGTTATAGGCAAAGAAAACCATAGTTTATCATAAAAGATCATTTTTATTATTTGTATAATATCAAAAAGTAAATAAAAAACCTATTAGGTATTATAAACATTTAAATTTAACGTTTGGAGTTCAGCGATTTATCACTAATTTGTTTACTAATTTTCTGGCTGGCGCTGTAAATAATTGTGTCTATAGGTACATTTTGTAAATGCGTAATTACCAGGGCAGCCAACTACTTTTTTTTTTGTATTGATTTTCTATGTTTGCCGTAATTACCGGGCAATTCGATTTTAAGTATCCACCGGACTTTGTTGTATATTTTATGGTGTGCAGTTGTTATAGTCGCAGCCTTGACATTCGTTCATTTTAATGAGCATGTGACTTGCACCCGGTTTTTCTTGCCCTTTATCCGGTTTTTTTTTTCTCTATATGTACACTTTTTTGGGTGGGAATCAAACGACCTTGGGTGGAAACTTCTGGCATTCTCGTATCGAAAAAGAAGTGGAACTGCAATGGCTTCCTAATCATCGATATAAGGCCCGGCTATTCCGGGATTTTGTCGACTCACTGTTTGCCGGCAAAAGTGACGTCACTAGCACGCGAGCAGATTGCTCATACGCCGCGTTTGACTGAGCGTCAATGGGGTATTCCTCTCCAGCAATTCCCCCGATAAAGATCCCCCCCCGTGGGAGAAGAGAAAAAACCCCAAAATATGGGTGGAATATGGAAATGCTGGCCGCAATTTCACCACAATATGCAAAGCTTCCGGCTGACGTCATATCAGGATAGAGGGCATAAAAGGGAAAAGGAGAATGGGAGTAGCAGCGAAAAACAAAACATCATATCACTTTGCTTTCCTGATCTATCAGCATGAACATGCAGAAATATCTCACGAATTATAAACGTGACTCACGGCTCTACAGTGATGTTTCTATACAATGAATTCATGAGAATCAAGGGGAAAACAACCTTAGTCATTTTATTTTAATATAGTATATTATAGTATTTAAAATCATAACATTAAGACAGCAAACTTAGTCATTTTGTTTTCAATGGTTGTTTTGAGATTTCATCTAGTAAATACTTATTAAAATGGAAATCGCTTGATTTTATTATAAACAAACTAAAATAGTTTTATGAAACAGAGTGTCTACTGTACTTCCCCCTCCCTTTCCTACGCATCTCACGATCAATTACGACTGTTTGTTGTTTGATAGCAGCGTGCGAAAAGCAATCAAAGCTTTTCAATGCCTTTTCCAGTTGTTATGACATTTGCAATTATTATCGCACCATGACTTGCCCCAAAAGCCAACTGTAATAGATATATGAAATGTATATTTATATCAGATAGATAAGTACATTGCGCATACGACCAGGGTCCGTTCAGATAGTGCCATTTGGCCTTGCCTTTATTGAGCGGCCTAATCCCATCCATTGTCACGCACCAAAAAAACCTCTCGAAATGCCATAGGCATTTGCTACACAGAGCGAAAATTATCATAATTACTCATACACATCAGCATGACTATTTAAAATATGTTAAAGGAGTGCTTTTATCATGGTTGGCCCATCAACATGTTGAGATATAGGGGTTGTTATCTAGGCCACATCAGCATGATATTTAAAATATATTATATAAATGCGTTTATCATGTTTTTTCCCATCAATTTGTGGAGTTGTAGAGGTTGTTATCTGGGCCATATCAGCATGATATTTGGAAAATATTTATATGATATCTCCAAACACTTTTAAAGACTTTTTTCTTTGGCATATCAGCATGAAAGTTGAAAATTAATTACAATTGAGTGCATAATTTATTTATTTCATTTTTTATTTATTTTTCTCTGTGATTTTCTCTCTGTGTAGAGACCAGGTGACAATTTGCTGATGCGCATTAACGGCCAACTTGTTTGAGTAATAGCTTTTATACCTGTATTATTATTATTACCCGTGATTGCTATCGTTTTTAATGCACGTTGTGTCCTTGTTTTTTGTATCTTCTTTGAGAAGCCTATAGTATTGATATATTAATGAATATGTAAATCAAAATATTAGATGGGATCTTGAAAATTTCTCAAGTTTTTTGACTGCTTTTGAAAAAAGTAGAAGTTAAAGTATTTTAGTAGCTTGCTAAGGAACTACGAAAAACCACAAGCTATAAACATTTCACATAAACCTGAATTTAATGCCCTAAAGTGGAAGAATTTTAAGTACCTTACTAAAACCACAAGCTATAAAGTTTTCCTCAAAGAGATGTATATCTGAAAGCTAAAACTATGCAAGTTTCTAGGTCGTTTGCTGTTTGCATCGAATAAACCGCATGATATAATGAGACTTGTTGATATTTTTCGATATGATCGCAGACTTAATCGTTTTCAAAGTATTCAAATGGGGATCTCGTGACTTAGAGACTTCCGAAGTTCTCCAGACGTAACGATCTTAACTCAAACTTTATTACTCATCGCTCAAGTGCAGTGCACCCCTTGCAGTGCCCCTGGTTAATTAAGTGTCGTTGTTCAGGAAATGAATTTTAGCAACCAAATGCGATAAGTCACATGTTTGTTAGCTGGTTTCTTTTTTTGTTATGTACTGTTTGGTTTTTTGTTTTTCTCTGTTATTGTTA